CATACCCCCACCACTCACCGCCTGGCTGAACCCTTCTGGAAGGGTGACCATCTGCCCTGGTCACCCCAATGCTGAATGTCACGGCTCTGGGAGGCGGCAGGCATGGAGCATGGTGGAGGGGGCAGGCCTCCATGGCCTGCCGACCCCAGCCTGGAGCAGAGCGGCTGCAGGCCCTCTGCCCTTGCAGAGGTGGCCCCAGCCCTGGCTTCCTGCTGGCCAGGAGTGGCCTCAGCTTTCCCAGACCGTCTTTGGGCCCCCCCAGGCCTCATCCTGGGGGCACAGCCCCACCCGGGTGCCCCACTGGAGAGCTGCTCTTCCATTTAATGAGGCCTCGGGACTCGAGTGTTCCCGCAGAAGGTCCACCCTGGGGCCCACAGACACCTCCCCCGGCCCGCATGGGTCCTGCCCCTGTCCTCTCTGTGTTGACACCGGACGCCCTGGCTGCTGTCTTTCCCAGGGTGGCCCTGGGGGTCGGGCTGGTCTGGGAAGGCTACTGAACTGGTTGCCCCTGTTGCACCTGCCCTGCTACTGTTAGGCTGTAGAACTAGCTTCTGCCCCATTGGGTCCCAGTGCCCCACCCCAGACATCAACCACACTGCCCCAACTCTGGCCGGTGCTGGCTCCTGGCAACCGGTAAAGGCGCTCCCCCCAGTCCGCCCCCCAGAGATGCACTGACTCAGGCTGGGGAAGGCTGGGAGGGGGTGCGGACAAGCAGCTTCTCATGGGCTGAGGGCACTGCCTCATCCCTGCTTAAATACTCAGGGGGCCCACCAGCCAGAGTCTTCAACACCTTCCATGGGGGAGCATCTTGGGGTCGAGGGCACCCCGGGGCAGGGGGTGAAGGGGTAGGGTGGGGTCCAGTGGGGCTGCCCCTGCCCACCAGCTCAGGGACCCCTTCAAGCCCCTCCAAGCCCCCTCCCTCAGACTGGAGGGAGCTGAGTGCCAAGCAGAGGGTGAGGGGCCATAGGTCCCCATGAGCCCCCTGTCTGAGGCTGGAGGACACTGTCTGCCTCAGGTCAGCCCTGGAGAGCCACCATCTGTGGGGGACAACATACCTGACTGGGAGGCCAGAGGTAGGGCAAAAGCCTCGACGGTCGCTCAAAGGTGAGGCCAACACCTTACAGGTGTGTGGCCCAGAGCCACTGGGGTCCAGAGGCCTTCCCGCCTCCCCCATCCTTGGGCACGTGCCCATCGATCCCTCACGCCCGGCCACAGTCCCAGGAGCTGGGCAGCTAAGTCGCTGGCGTGGGTCTCTGTCCCCTAGGCCTAGTGGAAGGCAGGGCCTGACCTGAGGTGGAGGACACCCAGGTCAGCCCCCGGGGGTCTCTCCCTGCGCAAGGTCCTGGCACAGGCTCTGTGTCCCGCCCTCGGGGGTCAGGAACACGCTGCCAGCTGCCCCCCACTCTGTCCCTCTGAGAGCCACGGAGCAGTGTGGGTTGGCCAGACTGGGCGTGTCTGCTTTCAGCGGGTGCCAGGAGGGGCTCCCCCCCACAGCCAGCATCCATCCCGCACGTCCATACCCCCATCCCCCATCCCCCATCCTCACATTAGCTGAGCAGAGGCCCCTTAGGGGAGGGAGGACTGGGCCCAGCTCAGGGCTGCTGACCACACAGGCCCAGCTCAGACAGTGTGGGGGAGGGAGGGCAGGGGCGTCCTGTGACCATAGCAAGGAGGGAGGGAAGGAGGGAGGGACAGATAGCTCCAGAACGCCCCCTCCCACCTCCCCAGCCACCATTGTGCAGTCCAAGGGGGTGGAGAAAAGGGGCTGACATCCCACAGGGAGCCCGCAGCAGTCAGATCTGACCTGACCCCGCAGAGGATGAGTCACTGCTCAGTGTCTCCTTGTACACCTGCAGAATCGTGGGGCACCCATTTCCTGAGCCCCAAAATTGGGCCTCAGACCTTCTGGCTGGGCCGGGCCAGGCCCCTACCTGCCCCACCTCTGCTCAGGGTCCCCCTGAAGGAAGGATGGGTAAGGGCCTGGGGGCACCCATTGGAGGGCTTCAGGGCACCTGGAGCAGAGGGACCCGAGGGGCCCAGCTCTGCCCAGAGGCCGAAGGAAGCCCCCACCTTGGGCACAGAGACGCTCCTGGGAGCGGATTATCCCTAGAGCTAGGGGGTCATGCTTTCCTGATTCCCAGGGCTTACAAGGTGGGAGCATCCTCACTCCCTCTGCAGAGATGGAGAAGCTGAGGTTCAGGAGGGCCACATGTCCTGCCAAACTGGGTCACCATGGTCAGAGGGAGCTGCTCCCTCAACCACCAGTGTGGCTGCCACAGCCAGAGCTCCTGGTGACCTACAGGGCAGTGACCATGCTGGCAGGGTCTCAGCACTGCAGCAGGAATGGGATGGCCAGTGGCCGTGGGGCTCGTGGTCAGAGGATAGGTGCTGGGCACGGCACTGAGAGAGGCTGTCAGATACCGCGGGGTGGGGCGGGGGAGGAGGGAGGGCAGTGCAGGGTGGGCCCCCCATGGGGCAGGGTCTGGCAGCATCCCGCGGGCCCAGAGCAGCAGGCTGGCCAGGGCCACCTTATGGGGGGCTCCTGTGACCACGGGCAGGCCCAGAGCCATGGGACTCGTGGCCCCCACCTTGCCTGAGGGGTCGCCCATCTCTTGTCACCCGCCACCCCTTCGGGGTCCCAGGCAGTGAGCTCAGTGTCTGGCATGAGGACCCTCATCCCGTTTCCAGCCCAGCAGGTGCTCTGGGAGGAGCATGTGCAATGTGCCCACAGGGCAGGGGCTCCTTCCCCCCGGGAAGGCTCAGGTGCTGCGTGGGGGCCATGGGCACTTGATGACACCCCTGCAGGAGTCACCCCACCCTCAGGAACCTGGAGCCACCCACGAGAAGGGGCTGGGGTCAGGCCTGTGCTCCACAGTAGAATGACCACAGGGGGACCAAGCGAGGGGGTCCCAAACCACAGAGCAGTGCCGTCTTCCCCGTGCCCCTGGACCTCATCCACAGCCACATCACTCTCCCTGCCCACTCTGACGGCCCCAGGGGAGGAGGGACACAGAGACATCCGGCCTTCTACTGCCCACTAGGGAAATGGAGGAGGAGGGGCACGGTCCCCGGTGCTGGGTCTGAGGGCCAGACATGGGGGCTCCCAAAAGCTGCTCTGTCCTTATGAGGACCTTGTCCCACCAGGGTCTGGGGACTCCTGGGGGTCAGGCCGCAGGTGCCCCTCCTGGCAGGTTAGCCCAGCCTGTCCAGGTCAGAGCTATTCGGGCCCGTATCTTCAGGGTCCCACCACCCTGGGTCACCCTCCTGCCTCGCCCTTACCTCATCTCCCTCCTGGGTATCTCCTGTCTCTGCCCATCTCACCCCCTTACACTGGCCTCCGCCCTGGAAGCCAAGAGCCACCTTCCAGCCCCAGCACCACAAAGAAGCAGGAGACCCTCCCTGTGGCACCACAGGCCCTGATGCCCCCAGGCTGCCCTGCTGATGGAGCTCCCCTGGCCACTGGGGAGGGCCTCACGTCCCTGGCCCCGATGTCAGGCCGCGGAACAACAGTGCCAAGGCAATAAGAGGCCAACTCCAGACCCAAGGTCGCACAGCCCCTCCTGGCAGCCCGCTTGCAAGCCCTCCCACTGCACTGCCGCACCTGCTTTCCCAGGATTGTTGAGATCCCAGCCTCAGAAGGGGAGGCCGGGCCATGCCACCAGGACACCTCGGCGACCCTCGATGGCCGCATGGCAAGGGCCTCACCAGGGGTGGGGGTGCAGATGTCCTGACCTCACCAGGACCCGTGGCCTGATACCTGCCCTCACAAGGCGAGTGACAGTGCCCAAGCTGCTCCCATTCAGGGAACTGAGCGGGCCTCATGCCTCCCCCTAGGTCATCTCTGAACTGCCAGAGACCAGGGCTGCCAGGAACCTAGCTTCTGGGTGGGACAGGAACCTGCACCCCCTGTGTGGGCTGGGCCTGCATCTGGAGATGAGTGCCCCTTGTGTCTGCACCCTACACGGGAGAGAGCACCTCTGTGTCTGCACCCTACATGGGAACTTGTTCCTCTTCTGTGTCCCCCTCTCAGGGTCAGAGGCCAGACTCCTCGCCTCCCGCCTCAGAGCCAGGGACCCCACACAGCCCCGAGTGGAGGCCCTGCCATCCCAGGATGACCTCGGTTTGAAGCCAGGGACAGGTGCGTCTGTGAGATCTAAGTGGGGCCCAGGGCCTCAGAGACAGCCGGTCTGCCCAGCGAGGCCAGGGGAGGGGGAGGCAGTCCTCCCTGGAAGATGGGGCCCTGAGGCCCTGAGGCCCCGAGGTCCCAGCTGGCAGGGACATGTGGTATGAGTGGTTCTGACTCAGGTAACAGCCTGAGTCCAGACTGTGGGCAGGACCAGCGTTGCTAGAACCACACAGATGGTGGGCCTGTGCCCAAGGCTGGGGGCCCCAGGGTGGGGAGGGTACCCAGGGGGCACCAGCTCCAGAGCCCCTGCAGTTGATTGTGGGGGAAGCTGTGCCCCACATGCCTGGCTTGGGCCCCACTCCCGGGGCAGATCTAGTTACCTTAGTTACCTGGGCCTGACTCTGCCGTCACCATCCAGGCCTTTCAGGACCAAACTCACACAGTGCAAATAGGGCCTGTGTCCTCTCCCAGGGTCACAGCTCAGGGAGAGAATGATGGTAGGGCTTGTGTGTATGGTCCCAACCCCCGGTAAGAAGTGACCAGAGGTCCCAGGCCAGGCAGCATGGAGGCATACACTCCCCCCACTCCCCAGGGCTGCTGGGATGAGCCTTTGGGACTGGAGAGAGGACCAGCTGCAGGAGCCTGGGCCTGACCCCTGCCCTCTCTCGGCCCAGGTGGCAGGGCCCAGGCGGATGCCCGTCAGAACCTCTTACATAAGCAGCCCTGTGGGGGGCGAGGCTGCAGCTGGGCTCCACCGCGCTGTCCTCCCCCAGCATCACGAGCCTCCAGTGGGCTGTCCTTGGGCCTTGGGTGGAGGCCAAGTCAGGCCCATAAATAGGGGTCTCTCCAGCAGCCTCTGCTCCTCCTGCTGGCCTCCCTCACTCTGCCTGCACTGCTGGCCTCGCGCCCTGGTCACACACTCAGCTCCCGGACAATGGGTGCTCTCTGCACGCTGTGGCTGGGGCTGGTCCTGCTGGGGGTGCTTGGAGCCCTGCAGACGTCGGCCCAGGCCCAGGTGTCCCTGCAGCCCAACTTCCAACAGGATAAGGTGAGGGGCCCCCCCGGGCCCAGTCCCCGCCCCAGGCACAGTGCCCTGTCGGGGGAGGGGTTGCTTTCTGTGGCCAACCGACCTGGGAAGAGGAGAGCTGAGCTGGGGGAGGAGGCACGGGAGAACTTCACCCTCCCTGGTCCCTCAGCAATGCCCCCCACCCAGAGCAGGGCCACTGAACCCCGACCAAGGCAGGGCAGCACCTGTGTCCGTGGGCGTGCACAAGGCACGTGCGGACACGCGGGCCACACCCCCGCCTCCGTCACCCAAACATGGTTGTCCTCCAAGCCCACGACGCCCAGAGATAATCAGGGACACATTCCACACCTGAGTCCCAGGACACCCAGTGCGCGAGTGCGCGATGGGGATGGGCGACCGGGAGGCCCCCAGGATCCGTCCGCGCAGGGCCGCGCCCCATCCCGAGCTTTTCAGGCGCCCCCCACCGCCGGGGGGTGGGGGGGCCAAGCACCCTCCACCCCTGTAGGGACGGTCCGGGCGCCCTCTGCCGCCGGTTCCCGCCACCGAACCAGCGGGGCCGGCGCGCAGGGGTGGGCGGTGGGGGTGAGCGTGGGGCGTGACGGTCCTCCAGGGCGCGGGGCGGGGGCGGGGCCCTGCTGGGGGCAGGAGGAGCAGGGCGGGGGCGCTGCAAGAGGCGCCGGGCGGGAGAAGAGCCTGGCTCGGGGCCGGGAGGGGGCGGGTGGGGGGCGGGAGCAGGAACGCCCCCTACCCTGGCCGACCCGGGCGGGGTCCGTTGGCCGCAGTTCCTGGGGCGCTGGTTCACCTCGGGCCTCGCCTCCAACTCGAGCTGGTTCCGGGAGAAGAAGAACGTGCTGTCCATGTGTATGTCAGTGGTGGCCCCGACCGCAGACGGAGGCCTCAACCTCACCTCCACCTTCCTCAGGTGGGACTGTGGGCCGGGCTTCTGGGGCCCCGAGCTCCCCGCGCCCGGCCCGGCCCCTGACCCCGGCCCCTTTGGTGACCCGCCCACAGGAAAGACCAGTGTGAGACTCGAACCCTGCTCCTCCGGCCGGCGGGAACCCCGGGCTGCTACAGCTACACAAGTCCCCGTGAGTGGGGTCACCTCCAGGGACCCCTGGGTCCAGCCCTGGGCCCAGCAGTAGGTGGGGCAGGCTGGCGGCCACTCCACCAAGGCCAGCTAGTCCCGGGTGTGCCTGGAGCTGCCCCAGGCTCAGGGCTGGGGGACCACGAACCCTCCCTTGGGGCGCTGGATCCTCTTTGCAGCGACCTCCAGGTCTCTCCCTGCCCCCCCCCATGGTGGTATGTCCCCAGGCTCAGTGCACAGGGGCAGCCCCCAGCCCCTCACTTCTCTGCCCAGTTTTCCACCCCGGGGCCGGGCCAGGGGCCTCTTCCCACCCCACTCCACCATTTACCCCCTTCCTTGGGAATGGCTTCCCACTAGGGAATCTTTCCTCTTCCCAGTTCTGGCTAAGGGGTTTGTGGCTGCACCAGGAGCCCCTAGTTTCCTAGAAGCCCCTAGATCCTGTGTGTCTGCTACCCTCCCAGGACCAAGACTTCTGGTTTGAGGACACTGGACCCTGCAGAGTGCAGGGGCTGTGGGGGCAGGAAGCTGGGGGCTACCCCAGTGTGGGGGGGCCTCCCTGGCTCCTTCCCACAGCCTGCCCAGGGAGAGAACACCTCCTCCCATGCAGAGGTGGGCCGGAGGTTTGGGGGCAGGGTCCCCAACCAGGATTCTGTCCTGCATTCCCAGACTGGGGCAGTACCCACGACGTGTGGGTGGTAGCCACCAACTACGAGGAGTACGCGCTTCTCTACACCGCAGGCAGCAAAGGCCTCGGCCAGGACTTCCACATGGCCACTCTCTACAGTACGCACCCCCCACGCCAGGGCCTCACAGTCTGGCCTCATGGATGGCTGTCTGGGATGGGGGGGGGCGCCCCAAGCTGCGGAGGCGGGGGCAGTGGAGAACTCCCCCAGCTGAGGCCAGTGGCTTCTCCTTCCTGCACCAGGCCGCACCCAGACCCCAAAGGCCGAGATAAAGGAGAAATTCAGCACCTTTGCCAAGACCCAGGGCTTCACAGAGGATGCCATTGTCTTCCTGCCACAGACTGGTGAGGGGGGTGCTGCTAATCTGATGGGGAGGGATTAAGGTCAGATTTGAGGCAGACAGTCTCCTGATTTGGGGGGAGCCGAGGGGTGCAGTTCATCCGGCCAGACCGCCCACTGCCCACTGACTGGCACACTGTGGCCTCCGGAGCGGGGCAGTCTGTCCTCACCCCATAACCTTGGCCTGCAACCCCTGGGTGGAGTACAAGAAGGAACACCCCCACCTGCCTCCCCAGTTTCACCAGGCAGTCTGGGGTGGGGTGCACGGGCCTTCCCTAAGGCCTGCTTGGGGCTCAGATGGGGACAGAACCCCCTCTTTGTGCAGAGGAGGGGAGAGAGTGATGAAGTGTGATGGATCAGCAGTGTTGGGGGGACTCAATTAGACCCTCTTTCTGGGGCTGCAGGGAGGGGGCAGGTAGCCTAGGTAGGAAGGAGGCCAGGCCTGGGGCGCTGACTAGGGCCCATGGGACTCTTTCTTGGCAGATAAATGCATGGAGGAGAACAAGTAGGTGAGTGTGGTGGGCTGTGGGCTCACTTCAGCCAGCAGTCCCCACCCGCACCTGCCCACCCCCACCCCACGATGCAAGGGTGGGCCCAGGCACATGGGGCTTCCCAGGGTCAGGGCTCCACCGGGGTTTATGAGATTCCTGGGAGCAAGAGGAGCTGGAGGCGGGTGGGGTTGGTGGGAAGGGAGGATTTTGGAGGGGTTCACTCCCCATGGCCTGGAGCTGTGAGGAATCTGGGGACCCTGGGGCCGGGAGGGCAGTGTGGCCTACCCCACTCACTGGTCCCGCACTCTCTGCCAGGTGACCGCCGCCCCAGGACCTGGCCGTCCTGCATTGCTCTGGTCTTTCCTCTGAGACCCCCAGGACCCTGGCCCTGGTGCCTCCCTGCCCCCACCCTTGCCCCCTCAGGCTTTCTCCTGGCTCTGAGAATAAACTCCAGAAGCAAATCAACTGTCCCGCTCTGGCCTGTCTGTCCTGCGCTCCTCACTGCCTGGGCCCTGGCTCTGGATTGCTCCCTGGGGACCTGACCACACCCCCACTCACTTTGGGCCTCAGTTTCCCCTTCCTCGCTGGAAAATTTCTGAGGCTCTTCATGATGTGCCTGAGGGGTGGGCAAGGGCCCGCTGACGTGTGCTTCCAGTGGGGCGGGTCTGAAGTCAGACAGTGGGCGGAGCGGAAGTGCCATCACAGCCCTCACCCAATGCACTGGGCTCCGACCTTGCCACACCCCCTCTAGTCAGCTGGTCCTGGGCTGGGGCCCAGGCGTTTCCTCATCTCTAGGTGGGCGCCAGTGACCTGCCCTCTCACTCCGGGTCCAGAGAGACATGAGGCCCAGGGGAGCTTTGCACCCATTGGGTTTTTGAAAGGTGTGGGATTTGTATACTCAGGCGGGGTGGAGGTCAGGGCCATGGAGGACAAAGAGGGTCAAGGGTCCCAGGGACAAAGAGGAAGGCTACATTGTCCATGTGCTGCCCCGTCACTGGAATGGACCGAGTAGGCAGAGGACGGGTCACCCTCACGTCTCCTGCGGCTGTGGAGTGCCTCTGGCCTCCACATTCTCTCTCCCGGCCGTTCCCCAGACCCCTGGCACCAAAGCCAACCCTGTGCCCCGGAGCACGGTCCCCCCCAGCAGCCCTGCTCCCCGTCTCCTGCCAAGGCACCAGATTCCAGGCCCTACCCAAAGCCCTCCTGGCTCCCAGAGTGCAGCATCGACTGCATCCTGCCCACCAGGCCAAACCCAGCCAAGCTTAAGCTGGGCCCTATAGAGGCGCCCAGGGTTGTGAGGCTCAGAGGTCAGGGGGAGCTGCTTGGCAGCCTTCCTGGAGAAGAGAGCCGGGGCAGACATCCCAGAAAGCCTGCCAGAAGTTCTGCCCCTGGTAGAGGGATCTGAGGTATCTCGCTGTCTGCCCAGGAGGAAACACCCCGGGGATGGGCGGGCTTGGCAGAGGAGCTGGGCCAGTGCACCGTGGGGCACAACCCTACCCAAACCTAATCACAGTGGACTCGGTCCTGGGCTGGCAGCCAGCCGCCCCGGGGCATTCAGGGGTCATAAAAGCTGTGCAGGAGAGGCAACCCCAGCTCTCCAGCTAAGAAGCACCCTCCACGATGCTGCAGGTGCTGCTGACCGGCTGGGTCTTCACCCTACTCAGGGTGTCGCTAAGCCAGGCCCAAGTCCCCATCCAGGCCGACTTTGATGCCACTCAGGTGGGCTCAGGCACCCTCAGGCCGGACACATCCCCTCTTCCTCCTGGATGACCACCTTGATTTGCTACTCTATCCAGGCCCCTGGGGCCTGCGTTATCCCCAGAGAGGCCAGAGGGCGAGAGATGCCCACATGCTCCAGTCCAAGCTCAGCTCAAATCGGGGGACAGAGGGGAGGGGGAGGGCCCCACCTATCCACCCCATCAGCTGCGGGTAGGCTGGGCTAGGAAGGACAGCAGGCCCCTCTGCCTGGTCTGTGGCGTGGCTCACACTGCCACCACTCTCCCAGGCCTCAGATCCAGACAAGTCACAGCCACCTACCACCACACTGAGTCAGGGAGTCAGGGTAGATGTGGACACAAGGCCTGTGCCCCGCCTCCCCCTGCCCCCTCCCTGTAGTTCCAGGGCACCTGGTATGTGGTCGGGGTGGCCTCAGATGACCAGGGCTTCCTGAGCTCCAAGGACGAGCTGAAGATGTCCGTGGTCTCGGTGACTGCCTCAGCCAGCGGTGACCTGACCCTCAAGTTTGCGAACCCTACGTAAGTGACCCCCCGAGCCCCACCTCAGATCAGGCCTTATGCCTGGCCAGTGTGACGCCAGAGGTGAGCCACCAAGAGCCCCAGGCGTCCCTGGTGCACGGGGGTGTCAGACCCAGGCCCTCGTGGAGTCAGGGTTCTGGCCACGGAGGCATTGTTTTCCTGTGTCTGTGTGTGGGAGTCTGCAGGGGACACCCCACATCTCCTGCTGTGTCCTTGAGCCAATAGTTAGCCCCTGCCCCCTCTCCCCACCCTGAGAGGGTTAGCACACCTCTAAGCACCACCGTGAGGAGGGCACAGGGCCTCGGGGGCAGCCCGAGCATCAGCCCGCCCTGTGTGGTCAGTGGTGCCTAAGTGGTGGCCCTATGCGACGTACTCAGGCAGCGTCTTTGGGAGGCTCAGGTTGTTGTGGCCCCTCCTCTCCAGGCCCGACGGAAGGTGCCAGAAGATGGACACAACATTGACCAAGGGTGCTGTGGATGGACAGTTCACAAACAGGGGTGCGGCGGAGGGGGCCGGGGGGGGCAGGGAGGGCTCCTGAGCAGGTGGGGGGCCAGCCTGGGCCACAGGCTCACCGGCTCCTGCCTTCCAGCCATGCAGCAGGCTGACATCCGCGTGGTGGCCACCGACTACAGACGGTTCGCTGTACTCTACTTGGAGACTGAGGCCAAGGGCACGAGGAACGTCTGGCTGCAGCTCTTAGGTGCACCCCTGCCCCCTGCTGGTCACCAGGCACAGCCTCTCCTCCGAGGGCCCTGCCCCAAGGCTGCTGTGCACATTCCAGCAAGTTCTGAGTCTAAGTGGCGGGTGAAACCACCATCCTGCAGTGTGTCCTTGGGCCCCCTCTCCCCTGTGTCTGTGGTAGAGGGCGCTGGACCCCTCCCACCCCGTCATCCTCCTCCAAACCCTGCCGCCCTGCTCACCAATGCTCCCTGCCCTCAGCCCGCACCCCAGAGCTGATACCAGAAGGTGCCCAGAAGATGCAGCAGCTGGCACCCCAAGTCGGCTTGAACCCCAGCCAGGGCACCTTGCTGCCCCAGTCAGGTGAGTGCCGCCCCCATGCTGGCTCAGGGCCACAGGAGACCCCACATGGCTGGGATTCGGGACAGGAGTGCCAGGGGCAGCCTGGCCTATCTGGGTCAGAGGGCAGGACTGTGCCCTGGCCAGTGGCCCCCCAGGAGGGGATGGCAGACAGGGATGCTTGCTTATTCAGGGGGGCTAGGAGACGCCCCCCTGGGGAAGGGGGCCCAGGATGGCTCCTCAGGCCCCACTCTCTCCCACAGACCAGTGTGCTGGTGCCTTCTCCTAGGTAAGTACTTGGAGTCCTGCTCCCCAGACCATACAGGGCCTAGTGCCCCGCTGACCCCCAGGGGCCCCTCTTGGCCAGAAGGCTGCACAGTGGGGTTCTGATCCTGGGAGCAGGTGACAGTGGTACCCCCGAATGGAGCCAGGACACAGGAAGCAGGGAGGAAGAGCAAGGTGTGGCCCTGGGGCTGGCCCCACAAGGGCAAGAGGGGCAGGAACACGGCACTCACCCCCCTCTACCTGCCCTCTTGTCCACAAGGAAGGATCCGGCCCGGGAGAGCCAGCGGTGGCAGTCTGCTCTGCCTGCTGGGCCTTCCTCAAAGAGCCACCACTTCTCTCTGCCACCCCTGCCCCTGCACAATAAATAATCTAAAGCCACAGCTGTGTATTTCTTCACCCTCCACGGTGGTTGATGGCTCCAGGCCCAGAGTGGGACCCCTGGCTGTGTGCACCAGGGCAGACGCTTCAATAGGGGGTGGGGGCTGGGGGGGGGGCAGGCTCTGCTCTGACAGAGGCAGCTTTCCAGACAGACGGGGGCAATCACAGAAGCTTCCTTGCCCCACTTCCCCCGCCCCGCCCCGCATACCAGGGCACCCGCCAGGGGGATGTCACCCATGTGCGGCAGCCCAGGCCTAGCCGGCTGCCCACATTGGACCTCCTGGGCCTCTGGGGTCCTCCCAAATCACAGCACGGGGCAGGTATCTGGCTACTTCTGTCCCCCTTCTTCTCCCCTGACCTCTGGCCCCAAAGCGCCTGCAGTTCACTCCTCACCTGGAGCCAGAGAAAAGGAGTGTGTGCAAAATGCTGTCCCAACATTGAGTCTATGTTGGGTAATGTCACTCTTCTCTGAAGACCCTTCGTCCTGCAGAATTTGAGGGTAAAATGGCATGACCTCTGTAATGTGAATAGTTCAGAAAAAAATAATGCTGGATGGAAACATGTAAGATAATTGTTTTATCGGAGCTATGGCTCGTTACACATTCTGCTTTTTCAGTTGGTTAGATGTTTTTAATTAAAAACACAGCCCTGGGGCCCCTGGGGGACTCAGGTGATGAAGTGTCTGCCTTCAGTCCAGGTCATGATCCCAGGGTCCTGGGATTGAGTCCCCGAGTTGGGCTCCCTGCTCAGTGAGGAGTTTGCTTCTCCCGCTGCCTCTGCCCCTCCTCCCGCTTGTGCTCTCTCTCTCTCTTTCTGTCTTTCAAATAAATACAATCTTTAAAAAAATAAAGGTGGCTCAAGATTCTTAAAAAAAAAAAACCCACAGTCCCATCCTGCCAGGTTTCCTGTCTTGACTGGGCTCCTTCTGAGCTGGGAGGTCACAGAGGGAAAGAGCCCCTGACACCTGGAGTCCCAAACAGCCCTTCCACCCCTGCACCCGACTCCTGGGTACCCAGTCTCTGGCCCGTCTGTAGACCCATCCAGGGCAAGGAGCTGCCCCGGTCTCTCCACTGCCCCCAGCCTGACAGCAGCCTGGAACTGAAGCTCTGGGGGTGAGGACAAGTGTGTGGGAAGGCCCCCTCTCACATGTGACCTGTGAGCTCACCCACCAACCTTTCCTGCCAACACTTGGGTGAGCTGCTGTCTGCCCACCTGGAGAGGCACCTGCTGAGAGATACCGTCAGAGCTCCGGGTGGTAAATAAACTCCGCGAGGATTAGTTGCCCTTTGGCTCCCACATGGACCAGGAGAAGATAGGGTGAAGGGTGCCACCGGTGTCTCCACTCTCACCAGGCTCTGGGCTCCCTGCCCTCCCACGTCCTCTGGGAAGGCTCTGCAGTGGGGATGTGCAGGTGGCCCGCCATGCCTTCTGGACACCCTTCCTCAGAGGGAGGCTCCTCTCTGGGGTGGGGCAGCCCAACAGGGCCCCTCTGGACCCCAGGAGGGCTGTCCCCTCCAGGCACCTGCAGATGCACCCAGGGCTCATCCCCTCCTGCACCCCACTCTCCTCACCAGCTCCCTCAGCCAGTTCTCTCCCCAGATGCCTGCTGGGGAATTCGGAGTGTGGGATCAGCTCATTCCCTGCTCAGCTCCCAGCCATGCCCAGGCATTCCATCTCACCAGTGGGAAAGGCCAAAGTCCCTCCCTGACCAGCCCTCCTTTGATCTACCACTTACTCTCTTCCCTTCAGCCCTGCTAAACAAGTCGTGACTCCTGAACACCCTGGCCCCACTCCCCTGGGGGGTTCCTATCCCGGCTCCCTGCTACGCTAGCTCCCTCTGCTCCTCTGAAATCTGTGCAGGTACTGCCCTGTGTGCTCCCTCCTTGGGCCTCCACAACCCCTCTGCGGACCTCTGGAGCCGGTCCCCCTCCATGTCATTTGCTGAGGCCGGAGGCTAGCCCGCACTCCCCTGTACCCCCCTCACCCTGGCCCAGAGCCCGGGCTTGGAACCCTGCTTGGGCCCCTCTCTGGTTAATTGGAGAATCTCCCATCAAGGTCCTTACCCACACCTGCCAAAACCCCTTTTCCACACAAGCTGACATTGACGGGTCATCGTAGGGCCTGCCTCATTCTTCTGGAAACATTGTTCTAGGCGCCAAGCACTGGGCCTGGAGGACTTAAGGTTGAAAGTTGTCCTAGGGGCTGGGGACTCCACACTCATGCTCTTGACATGGTCGTCCAAGGAGTCTGCATCCATAGCAGCCTCCATATTCTCCATCATACAGCAAGAGGGGCCCCTCTCCAAACCTGCCCCAGCCCAGTCCTCCAGGGGAAGAGCGTTTCTGCACTCCCCACCTGTAGGACTCCACTATGATTCCCCACCCCGCCTACCTGCACTCAGATCCTTGGCCCAGCATCCAAGAGCTCTGCCCTGAGGGACTCAGCTGCCCTCTGCTAATCTCCCTGCACCCCCAGCCTCCACCCCGGCGGCCCTCAGTGGCCTCTCCTCATGGCACTGGACTTGGGCTTTATACACAGAAATCAGTTGTACCACTCCCTGCCCCACCCCTGCTTGAATCCTCCTGCAGCTCCCCGCTCTGTCTTCATTCACCCCCAGTATTGTTGACTATCTCTGCACCAAGAAGTGTCTGAGCATTGAAGATGCAATGGCAAGTAAAACAGACATAAAGTCCTGCCCTGTGGACCACTGGGAGAAATGGGCAATAAACAGGATAAATAAATGTATTAGTCACCTATGGCTGAGTAACAAATTACACCTAAATTATCTCCCCAGCTTCTGAGGGTCAGGAGTCTGGTCCTGGGTGTTCTGGGGCCTTCGGGACAAGATTTCTCACGAGGCTGCAGCCATGCCCATGGCCAGGGCAGGTGCTCCTCAGAAGGCCCCGCTGGGAGGGTTCTGCTTGCCAGCTTCCTCGCCAGCTTCCTCGCTAGCCGTTGCCTGTCCAGGTGTGTCCACAGGGCTGGTGAGCAATTCAAGAAGGAGAAAGAAGGGACAGCCCATCACTTCTGGAAGCAAATTACTCAAGGCCTTCAGTCGGAGGGGAGGGCAGGTGCATAAACGTATGGACACGGGAGGTGGAATGGTTGGTGCCTTCATGGAGGCCACTGCCACAGTGAGCAAATCAGAATGTACATTATATAGTGACAAGTGTGGAAGACAAGTCCATAAAGCAGGAGAGAGGACATGAGACATTGGGAAGACTGTTGCAGTTTAATGTAAGGTGACAGGCCTCCTCTTGAGTGAACATCTGATGGCACCACGTAAGTCTGGGGGGTGGGCGTACCAGGCAGAGAGGTCACTTGTAGGTCCTGAAGCAGGAGCCTGAGGTTGTCAACCAGGGGTCCATGGGAGACACACCGGCATAGCCTACAGACCCCCAGAGCGGCCCTCCGCAACCCCACCCTCCCCGCCAATGCCCTCTGTCCAGCCAGGAGCAGCACTATGCTTACCCATGGTGGACTCTACTTGCAGGGCCGCTCCCTGTGCCCAGGATCCCCATCCTCCCCTCTCCTGGCACGCACACCCACCCCACCCCACCTCGGTCCCCAGCTCACAGGGCTGGGGCACCACCTGACAGTTTTCATGTTGCCTGTGTTTAGTATGTGACCCTCCCATTAGATCTCACAAGCCCTGTCCGCTAGGGAAGCTGTGCCCGATGCCTCGGACTCCAGGAGGCACAGAAGGGGAGTCAGGCAAACACTGTGGGCAGGCAGCCTTCTGCACGGAGCGCCTTGCTTCCTTTGCTTGTGCACTGCGACCTGTGACGGCTTGGCCTTTGGAAACTGTGTATCTCGGGGAGGGTGAGAGCCAGGGCGGGGGTGGGGAGAGCAGGAGGAAGTCGCCAGGACCGCAGGGGGCCAGGAGGAAAAGGAAGGAAGCCCGGATTCGGAGTGGGGTTAGGTGCCAGGCATGCGGGAGCCTCCACTCTGGGTGGGGATAGCACTAGGGCAGGCCTGCCGGGTGACCCCGCCCCAGGCTCTCAGACCCCGCCCCAGACCGAGCACCGCCCAGGAGCCCCGCCCCAGGCGCTCAGGCCCCTCTCCAGGCCGAGCCCCGCCCATGTGCCCCCGCCCCAGGGATCAGGCTCCGCCCTCCCAGTAGCCCCGCCCAGACGCGCAGGCCCCGCCCCCAGGCCGGGCCCCGCCCAGGTAGCCCCGCCCCGTGCCCCTTGCTCCGTCCGCAGCGCCCCGCCAGTGCCGCGGGGCTCCAGGGTCCTCCCGGCCGGGTCGGGCCGAGGCCGTCAGCTCCGCCCCGCGCAGGCCCTGTGGGCACCGCTCGGGGCAGGCCCCGCCTCCTGTTCCGGAGCCGGCTTCCGCGCAGGCGCCCTGGGCCCGCAGCGGTGCTCGCCGGGCGGGTGGCGGTCGGCTCGCTGCGGTGCCATGGTGCGGCCGCCGCTGTCGTCGGCTCTCTGCACGCTGCCGCCAGGCCCCGGGCCTCCGCGCTTCGTGTGCTATTGCGAGGGGGAGGGACGCGAGGACGGAGGCCCCGGCGGCTTCAACGTCTAGTGAGTGCGAGGTGCGCAGGGTGCTTGGGGCTCAGACCGAGAAGCGGGCGGTTCCCCCTGACGGCCCCTCCCCCCACAGTGTGACGGACGCCGCGGAGCTTTGGAGCACCTGCTTCACGGCGGACAGCCTGGCGGCCCTCGTGGGTAGCGGGGCTCCTGGGCGGGCCTGGAAGCCCCCAGCTCCCCATACCTGCCGTGCGGACCAGCAGTGGGATCGGAGGGGGCGGTCTGAGGTTCCCCGGGGGCGGGGAGGGGGTCTGGACACCCTTGCCCCAGCTCTGTGGCGGCGGTCCTCTAAGACTGGTCAGGCAGCTTTGGGTTCCAGGGTCTAGGGTAGCTGGTGACCAGCTCCTGTGCTCTATAGAAAGCCCGTTTCGGCTTGAGTGCGGCTGAGGATATCACCCCCCGGTTCAGGTGAGCCCCTGGGCAGAGGGAAAGGGTGGGAGTGGAGCAAGTGGGTCTGGACACAGCACTCAGCACCCCTCCTTTCCTAGGGCAGCCTGCGAGCAGCAAGCTGTGACTTTCACCCTGCAGGAGGACAAAGCATCCCTGACCCTTCCAGGGGGGCCCTCGGCAGTGGATCTCAACCTCTCCAGGGTGCCGGGCCCAGAGGCAGCCTCCAGGCTGCAGGCACTGACACTGAGCCTGGCAGAGCAAGTGTGCATCTTGAAGAGGCAGCTGGCAGGTGGGGTGAGGAGGGGGCGCCCTGAATCTTTACCGGGGTCCCCCTGTGCATGCCTCCACTCTTGGCTTTGTTCTTCAGCTGTGGAGGTGACAGCTGCCAGCCCCAGAAAGAGCCCTCGTCAGGTGGGGCCCCAGCTCTTCCTACCAGGTAAGGCCTGTCACTTGCAAGTATGGTTGGGGCTGTGCTCTTCCCTCTGCAACCCAATGACCCCAGAACAAGATTCAAACTCCAGGATTGGGATTTTGACCCTGGAATGCACCAGACTCTGGAACACCCTCCCGTCCTGTTTCCTTCAGACCCGGATCCTCAGAGAGTTGGCCCTGGACTTGGGGTCAGGAGGCGGTGTCCAGGCGAGTCCCTCATCAACCCTGGCTTCAAGAGGTACTCCCTCCCTGCTCCTCCCTCCTGTGCCCAGGGTCAAGACCTGGATGGATGTTGCCGGCCCCATAACACCACAGTGTCACCTCCTCTTCTCTCCCAGTAAGAAACCAGCCGCTGGTGTAGACTTTGAAAGCCCCTGAAGATGCAGCAGAGTGTGACCTTGCCAGATACCTGCTTGCAAGTGGGGACAGTTCTGAGACCCCACGATCTCCACCTGCTCCTCCTACTGCAGGGTGGGAGCGCACCTGCTTCTCAAACCCCTTCTCTATGAAATAAATGCTTTCTCAGATGGAGGAATGAGCCCCGCTCTGGGGGTGGGTGGGGGACAGGGGTCAGGGATCCCCCTGGGTGTGTGCTCTAGCCCAGGGCTTCAGGGCATGAGGAGATGCAGCAGCCTCCACGCTCCGGGTAGAGGAGGCCCCCAGGTCTCCAGACTCACCCCGCTGCCCCTGCCTGGTGAGCACAGCAGCCGGGGGACTGGAAGGCGGGGCAGGGCTCCTTGAGGCTGGAACTCTATTGCCAACAGCTCCAGGCACACACTTCACTCTCCCAGACCCCACCAGACCAGGCACAGCCGCGGACATCCCACACTGCATACACACTAGATCCTACAGGCTTTGGAGGGTGGCTTGCTCCCTGGGCAGGGCTGAGGAATGTGGGCTGGCCCCACCCCCTGGCCAGGAGCCCCTAGGTGCCCAGGCTGGGCTCTGCTCCCCACCCTCCTTGGCCATCCTGCTGCCCCACCCCGGCCTGACTGGTTTGGGAGCCCAATCCAGTCCCTACCACCACTGACAGGGTGAGTAGGGGAGGTAGGCGGAACCACCCACTGGGTTCTCTGCCCCTGTCATTCTGGGCTGTCATGTGGAGCTGTGCATTGACTGGCAGCGGTTTGGGGGTGGCAAATCCAGGGCCCTCTGGCCCCTCGAAGGTTAGGACACACTCGTTGGGGCAGACATGCCTTTATGGGGCTGTAGAAAAGCAGACAGGGTGGCGGTCAGCAGTGGGGAGGGGATAGCGGGGGTGCACGGCCATCCGGTAGGCCGCCAGGATCTCAGCACTGCATGGGCACGTGTATTTGAACTCCTTCACCTGCAGCGCGCTCTCCAGGTAGCGGCGGACGCCGCACAGCTCGGCGGGTATGGGCGCTTGGCGGAAGTGTGTGCATACCGTCTGCGAGCAAGGGGCGCGGTCAGGGCCTTGCGGGAAGCACCCCCCACCCCTGTCCCGCGTGTGGCACTCACATCCATGATGTACAGCTTGGGCAGCAGGCTGCAGTCGGCTAGCGTGAGCTGGTCGCCGTCCAGGAAGCGGCGGCGGGACTCCTGAAGCTGTGGCTCCTGTGCCAGCTCGTGTTCAAGGGGCCTGCGCAGGTAGCCGTCCAGTCTGGTGAGGGCGCGCAGCAGCAGCTGGTACAGAGCTGCGGGGGTGGGGTGGGGTGGGGCACTGTGAGGGCCAGGCCAATGTCCCCCTCCCACCCTACGGCTCGAGACCCTCCTCACCATTGTCCTGAGTGGGCACTGGGTTCTTGATGAATGCGGAGAACCTGTGAAAGACGTCGTTGCCTGCCGTGGTGGACTCCCTGTACCGAGGTGCCAGGCTGGGGAATCTGCGGGGAGCCAGGGAAGCTCCGGTCAGACCCTGGTGTCGCGCCCCCTTCCCCGCAGCACCCTCAGCATTTCTCTAGGGCTCCTACAGGGAACCCATATTCGCCCCTGCCGCCACGCACTCAGGTGGCCCCAGTGTCTCCTCCAGAAACTCTTCGATCTGCAATGTGTCCGTTTTGGCGTCGCCATCATAGAGAAGGATAGGCAACTGCGAGCCGGGTGCAAAGTCCTTGAGCACATCCAGGGACCTGTGGGCATGAGGCAGGTGGGGAAGCTTCTGCTCAGGAGGGCCAGAGGCCCAGCCATGGTCCCCTGGGGGCAGGGGCTCACCTGCGAGTGTCTACCGTGGTGAGGGTGAAGGGCACACCCTTGAGCAACAGGAGCATGAAGAGCCGCTGGCAAGAAGGGCAGTGTCCCACGCTCTCACCATCCTCGCTGGCCTGGGCGGGTAGGGTGGAGGGGGCCGGGGCAGAGGGTGCCAGGGCAGAGAGCAGACCTAAGAATTTTGCCAGAGAGGACCCTGCCTACCCCCGCCCTGTGCCTGGAGCTTGGTCGGCCACGCCCTCGACAAGTGATGGGAGAGAGCCCTTGACTGGGTCCCTGGTGGGGGGGCCCAGGGACATGGCCCCTGGGGACCCTTATCTCCAGCACCTGGGCAGAGACCAGCCTCCCGGTGTCCAGGCCCTCCAGGCTGGTCACGAGGGCAGGGTGGGCCGAGTGCTGTTTTCTGAGTGATTCATGCTGCCAACTGGACACTGGCTGGCAGCACACTCACTGCCCCACACCCCAACGATGGGGGGAGGCCAGGGGCTGGCAGCCGGTGCACAGGGATCCACAGCCCCGAGCAGTGATGCAAGCATCGGGGGTCACCCGGCCCAGCCCCCCTCTCCTGCAGCGCTGACTTCCACCCCCACATGAGCCTTGGCTGCCAGCTGCTGATCAGCACCTCCCCACTGAGGGGCTTCGTACCCCGGCTTCCCCTCGCATGGCCTTGGGGGCGGCTCCCCGGGCCCTCGCCCAGTCCTGGCCCCTTTCCTCAGCCTCCACAGGCAGCCTGCATCCAGTGCACACGCAGCCTCCGAGGGCCCACCGCCTGCCCCAGAAAGCTTAGCCCCACTGAGCATGCTCCTCCCCGGGGCCGCCTGCCCACCCACCCGGTGGCACCTTGACAAACAGCTGGAGCTTGGCAGTCTCTGCCATGGTGAGGAGCGCAGCGCAGTGGGAGGCAGTGAGGCAGGGGTGGGAGCCTGGGGAGCCCTTTAACGCTGGGGTGCTCCGCCCTCCCCAGCCCAGGGCCCGCCCCACTGAGTCATCCCCCCCTGCAGGCAGGCCAGCCCTTGGGGCTCTGGGGCCCATGTCCAAGCACAAGGGTGTGATTGGGGGGCTGCCGGTGCTGGGGCCCCAGGGGGCTTTGGGGGTTCAGAGGTGGGGAGAGAAAGGAGCCAGCCCGGGCACAGGGCTGCCCTGGATCAGGATCAGTCCTGCCATGAGCCCACGGCCCTCCCTGCAGTGAACACCCCACTGTCCACTGGGGTCCCCAGCCCAAAAAGCTGAGGAGTGAGGAGAAGCAAACACCCTAGCCCTGGCCTTGGTTTCCCCATCTGTCTACCTCCTGGGCGGGGAGGCCCCTTCCATCACTGAGCTGGGTCAGCCCCGCCCCTGGACCAGCCCACATTCCAGGAGTGCTGCTGGCCTGCCCAGGTGCCCCTCCTTGGCCAGCCGCACCCCCTGCCATCCCTACCCTCCCAGGGGGTCCCAGGCAGGCTTCCTCCACCTTAACCTTCCCCAGAAGCACCATGAGAAGGTTTAGGAGCTACACCCTCCAGCCCATGGTCAGCCTGCTCACCGTTGGCCATGGGTCAGCCTGCTCACCGTTGGCTGGAAGGAACCTCTAGGGGACGTTGTGGGCACTCCCTAACCTGCCCCGCCTGTCTGGTGGCTCACAGTCCTGGGTGAGGGTGCCCCAAGGGAGGGGCCTGCCAAAGCTTATGCTGCCCCTCCACACAGCTGGGGACCTGCCTATACCTTTGCCTCCTCCCTCCGGCTCCCCCTGAGGCACCAGTGCCTCTGCTGCTCCTCCATAATGGGGTGGGGGCTTGGCCCGCTCACCTGCTGCTCCGGGGGCATACACCCCAGCCCCAGGGAAGGCCCAGGGCCCCCTCCACACCTGTGCATGCCTGCCAGCCGTCCTCTGGGTATTTCTCTGTGTGTAAAAATAGCCCCGCGCATCTGTAGGTATGATCAGGAGATGGACCAGCAACCAGGTAGCTCAGAGAAAAGGAAATACACCGACACTGACAGAGTGAATGGGAGCATGTCTCACTTTGCACTTATTTCAAGAGACAAACTAGGACAGGACCTGGTTCGGGGCTGCAGCGGGTAAAGATGTGGCTCTGTACTCAATGAGGGGGTGAGAAGCCCCCCTCAGCCTGGGGACACATCAATGAATGCGTGCTGTCCCCTGGGCAGCATGGCCCCATCTGCAGGAGGGACCCGGTGACTTCCTGGGACAGGACACAGGTGGTGAGTCTCTAGTCTCTGGTTGGGTGATGTGGCTGAGTTGTGCCCCTGCCATTAACGTGCGAAGTCCTCGCCGCCCACGCCTCAGACAGAGCCCTGAAAAGTCATCCTACTGACATGGGGTTATCAGGGCAGGCCCTGCCCCACTATGACTGTGTCCTTGGAAGCGAGCAGTTTGTTTAAGATTTTATTTATTTATTCATGAGAGACCCAGAGAGAGAGAGAGAGAGAGACACAGGCAGAGGGAGAAGCAGGCTCCCTGCAGGGAACCTGATGTGGGACTCAATCCCGGGACCCCGGGGTCACGCCCTGAGCCAAAGGCAGACGCTCAACCCCTGAGCCACCTGGGCTGCCCCGGAAGCAGGCAGTTTGGATGCAGACACACATGGATGCCATGTGCGGGTGGAGGCCAAGGACAGGTGGTGCTGCTCCAAGCCCGGGCCACCACCACAGGGGCGACCAGCCCTCCCCAGCCTCGATCTTGGACTTCTGGCCTCCACATGGGGGTATTTTCTGTTGCTTTCAGCTGTGCGAATGGCAGTAATGCATGGCCACCCTAGCAACACCGCATCAGTGTGCGTCTGTCCAAGGCTGAGCCCCTAACCTGAGAAAAGCCACGAGGGTGTCCTCAGACATGTCTCAACTTCCTACCATGATTTGGTCGTCGATGTCTTTAAAGAGGACCAGAAACTCAGACACCAACCTTAACTGACTGAGGCCTGTGGGGGCCCCCACAATCTTCCCTGCTGCCACCCCCTGCGTCCACAGAGCAGCTGTGGGGGGCCGTGGGCCTGCTGTCCTCCTCTCAGGCCCTTCTCTTCCTTCCTGGAGGCTCGGGGTGGGGGTGGGGGATCCGGCCGCCATCCCAGGAGTTGCAGGGCCCAGCATCATGCATTGTTCGTCACTCCTTCCCTGACCCCGGGCTGTGGGCCCTTTCCGGCCATGTTTTAATGACCTGCTCTGCAAGGAGACACGGACTCTTGGGGGGTGGTGAGGGGCCTGGGGCAGCACCGGGATTGTGGCGGGAATGTGCACGGGTGTTTGCTGGCCCCGGCCACTGAGAGCCACGGAGCCATGAGCCTGTCCCGAGGCGAGAGGGGAGTCCAAATACCAGTGTGCCCACCGGAACCAGGGCTCTGAGAAGACGGCCCGGCCCAGATGCTGGGTGGGGAGTACAAAGCAGGCTTGGGAATTCTAGCAGAAAGGGAGTCTCCAAAACAATGTCCTAGACAAGCTGAAGGGACACCAGAGCCACCATGGAGGACTTCCACTGGCCAAATCCTGAGTATTAAGAGTGTAAAAAAGATGGTGACAGAATCATACGCTTTTGGGCAGCCCGGGTGGCCCAGCGGTTTAGCGCCGTCTTCGGCCCAGGGCATCATCTTGGAGTCCCGGGATCAAGTCCTACGTGGGGCTCCCAGCATAGAGCCTACTTCTCCCTCTGCTTTGTGTCTCTGTCTCTCTGTCTCTCTAATGAATAAATAAATAAAATCTTAAAAAAAAAAAAGAATCATACCCTTTCAAGGGGTTAAAATGGTAAATATTACGTGTATTTGCCCACGACAAAAAAAAAAAAAAATCAGATGACAGCAGCAAATGACAGTATGTTGATTTTTTAAAAACTCATGAATCCACAGTGATCTAGTTCTAAAACTGAAGGTATTTGAAAAAACAAATGCCAGCTAATAAATGCAGAAAGGATGAAATAGTTAGAAAACCATTTTGGGGCACCTGCATGGCTCAGTCTGTTAAGCGCCGGCTCTGGGTTTTGCTCACGTCACAATCTCAGGGTCAGGGGAATCAAGCCCCACATTGGGCTCTGTGCTCAGCACACCCACCCCCTGTCCCAATAAATAAATAAATCTTTAAAAGAAAGAGGGGATCCCTGGGTGGCTCAGTGGTTAAGGGCCTGCCTTAGGCCCAGGGCATGATCCTGGTGTCCTGGGATGGAGTAACGCATCAGGCTCCCTGCATGGGGCCTGCTTCTCCCTCTGCCTGTGTCTCTGCCTCTCTCTCTCTCTTTCTCTGTGTGTGTGTGTCTCATGAATAAATAAATTAAAAATAAAAATAAAAGAATAAAAAGTTCCATTTTGCAACCCCCGCCCCAGGGGGATAAGAGTTTTGAGAAACAAGATTTCACATGACCCTCCATCCTCCAGGGGCGGTCTCCTGTGTCCCATAGTCCCCTTGAGGGGGGCTCTGGTGGGAGACTGACCATGGCCAAGCTCTAGGGGCACTGGCTCTGGGACCCCCCCTTGTGGCCTGTCTCCAGGTCCCATTGCTACTGAGCAGCCCCCTCTCAGCTCCGGGGAGCCTCCACAAGGCCCCAAGGTTTGTACACACTCCCTCCTGGACTTGGGTCTAAGCCTAGAGGTCGCCTCCTCCTGCAAGCCCCCTGCCTATCCTGGATGAGATGGAAACAGCCCAGCACACACTGCCCATGGGCCCTTGGTGGGCCCTGGGCCCAGGTGTCAGGGAGAAGGTGGCTCAGTGTGCAGGCCTGCAGGGAAGGCCTCAGTGACACAGAGAAACCCACTCTGGACCCGCCTCCAGGCAGGGAGTCTGGGCTCTGTGGGTGGGCAGGGGAGGGGAATGAGGGACAGCCCTTGCCTCTGTCTCCCCATCTGTACCAAAAGCTGCACACAGGGATGAACCCCCCACTCTCCTCCAGGTTCACCCTGGCTCGGGGCTCCAGGCCCCATATCTGTGCCTGTAGGGAGGGGACCGAACCTCGGCATCAGTGGGCCCATCTTCACCCCAGCACCCCGCTCCACACAGGCAAGCTTCCACAGGCTTTTGTGTTCATTTATTTAAAACAAACATCTGTGCGCTATGTACAGGTCTGGCTCCCGGGGGAGCGGGTATGGGGGGGAGCCAAGCTGGGTGGGACAGCAAGGGAGCTGGGGGGGGGGATCTGGCCCCTTGTGTGGCTGGTAGGGCCAGCTTCTCCATTCCTGCCACCCAGCCCACCACCTTGAGACTGCCCCTCCCTGGTCCACGTCCATGGCTTCCCTCAGGTGGGGGCCTCCCTGCGTGAGAGCAAGATGAGGAAGCCTCTTCCCAAAGCAAAATAAATAACGTCCTGGGGACGAGACCTGCCCCAGCCTCCCTCAGCCCCAGACCGGCCATCGGTACCGGGTGTCAGAGAAGAGCCCATTGAGGAGGTCAAGCCCAGCCAGCAGAGGGTCTGGGGGTGCCCAATGGCCTGTGTCACCCCAGGGGCCCTAGGGGTGGAATGCAGAGCTGGACGGGCAGAGGCGAGGGGCTGGTCAGACCCCCAGGCTTTAAGGCAGAGCAGGGTGAGGGTGTGCGCAGCCCAGGGCCAGGCCAACCTTTGGCACAATCAGGGGAGGGCAGCGCGGTGGTCTCAGGCACAGCTGAGGCCAGGTGAAGGGCTGGAGGGAGTGTGAAGCCCTTGGTCCTGGACCTCCCGCTCCAGGGCCTCGTGGGTGGGCACTGGGGGCACAGGGTGGGGCTTTGGCCCCTGCCTGACTTCTGTCCCCACTGCATGTCCTTGAGCCAGCGCCTGATGGTCAGCAGAGCGTGTCCGTGTTGAAGGAGAGCTGGGCCTGGTGGGCAGATGGCAGGCCAGCCGGGCTTGAGAAGGTGTCTCCCGGGTCTAGGATGGGTACCCCACCTCTGCCCACCTTGAGTTCTGCCTCCGTGATGAGGCCTCTGGTGGCCTCTGCCTGCCAAGTCTGGTGGCTGCAGTGTTTCTGGCTCC